TGCTTGGAAGAAATACTAAACTGACACAGAAGTGAGCTGTACTGCTCATTAATACTGCCACTCAGAGAAGGAATCCCACCTTCTCCCTGTGCTGGCACGTGGGTGTGCCTGTGACAGTGAGCTGGGTCTGGAAAATGAACTGGCCGAAGCAAAAAGCTTCTCCTCTCCCTCCTGTGAGGATGTGAAGCAGGACCCAGTGGCAGCAGCGTCCTGATGGAAGCACAGCAGCCAGACACATCCTGGGGGAGCCTTCCCCGGCAGTACTTTACCACCAGCACCAGTTTGGGGATTTCCTCAGCCAGTGGCAGCACCGCAGCCAGTCAACATGATGGCTCAGTGCAGTTACGTCTTTATGCTGCGTAACAGTACTAACTGCTACGGTAATCTGCAATTTTGAAAAGGCAGCCCACAATAAAAATAAACTTTAAGCATTGTTTCAGTATGCTATTATTTCAATGACCTTTCAGTTCTGTTTCAAGACTTCCAAGTCAATCAGCAAATCGCTTTTTATTAACCCCGCAATTTAGTAACCACAGAGAGGATTTCAAGACATCCATCTATACACTCTCTCAGATTATATAAACTTTAAGCACAACTAACTCTGGTGGATTAAATTAACGTACCAATGACTGTAACCGTGCTCCTGGCACGTGCACTTCCTTCACAAGAAAACTATTAGAACTTAACCTACTCTATTTCCTTTATCAGCTAATTTTGCAAGTTATATTTTTGATCAAAACCCTCACATATCTACTTCATACACATGATGATGCAATACAACAACTTGTTTTCTGGCAATATTTTAGGTTTAAGGACTACACAAAGCACTACCCAAACCTGAGGACAGCATTACCTTCTTCACACACGGGAACATTTTAAGTGTCCCCCTTATCAGCACTGTAAATGAGACATACGTGAGGTTTGTTTGGGAAGAAGAAAAGGTTTCTTCTTCCAAAGGGTTTTGCAAGTCACTGTGTCTCATATACTCCCCATCCTGGTCTTGCACTTCTATGGATTCAAGACTGTCCCACTCAACTGATCCAAGCCACGTCCACAGCAGCCTAAGCTCGCTGCAACACAAACTACTGAGCCCTGAAGAAGAGCCAATTGGTTCCTGTCCCATCCGACACCCAGTGACTGAGCTAAACACTTGTGCACTTCGTGGAGCCGCTTCCACAGGAAAGAAAGGAAATGCCTCTAAGCACACCTCTCCCAAAAGCAGGGCTTGGTTTTAACCTCCATGCAGCTCAGCTTGCCAGCTTTTGTCAAACCTAAGCCTGGGGACCTGGGATGGGATCTGTTGATTCCTTCCAGCAGACGAGCACTTGCCAGTCAGGTGCTAGATGCTTGAGACCACCAGTCCATCCTGCTCAAAGACATTAATCACCTCCCTCTTCTCATCACACTCCCACTGCTTGCCAGGAGTTTACTGTTTTGTGGAATGAGTGCAGGACAACTTTTACCACCACTGATCTGCCCTTCCTCCTTTCTTAATTAAAAAAAAAAAACAAACAAACAAAAAACAGGAAAATCTCAAAAAACAATACAAACGGGTCAACAGAGGCGGGAGATAATCTGTCCATCTAGATCATGCTGTACCATGGCCACCCAGCCAAGGCACTTGCTCAGCTCACACAGAGCCAGTCTGGGGACAGCAGCCGATTTTGAGGCACACTTTTAATATCCTCACATTCTTTCAAATCATTCTTTCAAATCATTTGGTTTCACAAGCCATTTCCAAAGGCTCTGCCATAAAGAGGACAAGACCTTGAACCTCTTCTGCAGCACAGCTCCTCACAGCCAGGTGGGAGGGAAATGACTTTGTCACCGAGGGAGCCCCGATGGGTCGGACCCAGGATCCCTTGTCAGGGCTCCCTCCGCTCCCGATGAAAAGGACGGAGCAGGGCAGGGACGTGTTGCTTCCTCCCGCAGTTCTGTGCAAGAGAGGGGTCAAGTCCACACATGAAGAGCAGAGGGCAGATGATTCATGGCCTTCACAGAGCAGGGTGAAGATCTCAGTACAGTCTTCAGGAGGGTAGACCTTCATCTGCCCTTAAGACAGAAAATTTCCTGCCTTCCTACATTTTATTTAGCAGTTTTCCTGTTTCACAGCTCTCAGATGCCAACCTTGATCACATAGGACCAGAACAGTGACGCGTCCTTACAGATTTTCACTGTAAGAGACATACACTGAAGGTCTGAGCAAGGTATTCTGGGGAAACTTAAAGCAGAGAAAAAGGAATTTTATGTATGAATTGCTGGCAAACACTTTACTGTAACTGCGGTCTGAATTCTATCACGTAACAAGATTTTTTGGTTGGAATCATGTCTCTGCTTCCATTTGTCTTTCTCTGAGCATCCCCTCAAAAGCACACAGAAAAGAGACCCAGCAGCAGAAAACGCAAATTAAAGTAGTGGTGCCAAACAGCCGAGTCTGCGCACACAGAGAGATCAACCACTGCCATTCCCACTGACGCCAAAACCAGAGATAAAACCTCTTACGCACAACACCAGTGCAGAACCTGACACGGCCCCATGTACCAGGACACGGCCACCGTGGCTTTCTGGTTAGTGGCAGCTCTGGCCGCCCTCACCGAGGACACAAAGGTCCTGAAAACGAGGAAACCACTTCCCAGCCCTCCAGCGCTCGGTCCAGCCCACAGACACCAGCTGAGGGCCTGGGCAAGGAGGAGGCCAGGAGCAGCCATCTCCTCTCCGCCTCCTTGACGGGCTCCTGTGAGATAACCAAGTGTGTCTCAGCCAGAAGCATCATGGCAGTGGTGAGTCAAAGGCGCTGGTCCTGGAAAGGATACACCTCCTCCAAAATCAACATCCTTCCCAGCAGGCAGGGCAGGGCTGAGCTGGGAGAAAGGACAGGCTGTGCTGCAAGGACCAGCTGCTACAGGGACACGCTACGGCTGTGAACCTTCCATTACACTTTGCAAAACGCTCGATGGATTTTAATGCGATTTTAGTGAGACAGAGTGAAAAACAGCACGATCCGTGTTACCAGCTCATACACCCACAGCGCTGGAGGAGGGGGTTGTTGAAAAAAAATTAAAATTACAAGAGTCCTTTGCACCAATTTCTTAGGTAACTAGAATCATACACACCTCATCTGCTTTTGTGAACACCCATTTGCACATACAAGGATGCTGCCCAAAATCTGCAGGTTCTCACCAGCAGTAAAAAAAATCTGGCTTCAAGTATAGTGTAACTGTAGGAGGTACAGCAAGCAGCAGCAGTTACAAATATTAGTTGTATAATCCCAAGACATACCTTGCAGTTTACCTATTTTGACCTTGAGATGGCAGAGAAAGAAAAGGTAGCAAGGCAAGTACTATATGGTGCAGCTACTATAAAGATACAACACAGAACTGAAAGGGAGAACAGGGACTGAACAATTAATAGATCCTTCTTCTGCCCCTGCATCTGCTGCAAACGCTGCTGTGCCTCGTTTACTGTGCTGCTTAAACACGTCAAGGCAGGGCAGAAGGAAGAAAAGGCAACTCCATGCTTGAGTTATAAAAAGGACTGGAAGAAAAAACCAAAAACAGAATATGCAATTTGGATGACAACATGTCAGTAATCATGGAGCAGGGAAGAGGATAAAATGGAACAGAGTATCTAGAAAAAGGATGGAAAAAAATAAGAATGAGAAAGGAGGACCGTTGGGGCCAAAAATTTCTTTTCTTTAAAAGAAGTGTCACCAAAGGACAGAATTTTGCATGAGGTTATTTTCCTGAAGACTCTGAATGCCAGCTGATCTCACTGCCTCAGTCAATGCACTGCATTCTGCAGCCCAGGCCTGCGTCTGTGAGCTTGAGCCTTCCGCAGCTCCTCTCATCTCTCGGATGACCACAGGGCTATTAGGCAGGGCTATAGTTTACTCATATGACCATTAAACTACAGGAAAGCATGCAGGCATGCAAGGGAAGTGATGGTCTAGCTGCTGCATAACTGTGGCCACAGAACAACGCATAAAAATGTCCCCAGTGACTTCGATCTTGCTGTGCCATCAACCACGTTTCATGTATTTAGAGGCATGCAAATAGGTTTAAGTCATATCCACACACACGCCCCTCGTCTTCTTTGGATGCACGAAACTCCAAAAACCACACGCTACATGAAAAAGACCATAAAAAACAACAACAACCAACCAAAACACCCAAGAGAGAGTTTGTCCTGTTGCCTGGATGGTAAGTGAAAGGCAGCAACCTGGCGGCGAGGCTGCCGCAGCGCTGCTCCCCCAGGGAGCCAAAAGCCCACGTGGAAGAGGGGCACCTCTCGCACCCCGCGACTCTGTGCAGCATAGCCCGGGGAGGCTGCCTACAGCTAAACAGCCTGTCTGCAAACTAGCTCTGACAAGATCCAACAGACAGTAGACACTGCCTCCAAAAACGTGCAGACGTGTTCTTTAAAAATCAGGTCTTCAGGGTCTAATGAATGTCCTGGGTAAGCAAGTATGGCTTTTCGCAGCGCTGAGTAGGCAGCAGCAGGGCTGTAGCTCAGGGGTTGCTGGTTTCTGGCCCTCATGGAGCTCTTTGGACAGGACACAGACAGAAGGGAGAAACGGATCTGTAAGTACTTACGTGCAAGATGGAAATTAACTGCACTTTAGGCATACTTTAAAAAAAAACAAACCACAGAATAACCCTGTGTGACATATTGGTCCCCAAAAATCATCCACCTTAATCACAAAATGCATTTAAAGCCTCTAGCGAACAGTTGCTGTGATCGGATTCTTTATTAGTACGGTTAACCAGTTACAGCATTAATCGGTCCAAAGCTAATTATCAGAGGTATTTCAAAAAGAGCATACCAAATGAAAGAAAAAAAGTCAAATAATACTACACCTATTAGATTTTAGTTGATCGAACCCCTCAACATACTACCCAGTTCAGAATCAAAATGATTTCAAATATTGCTTAATTTTTCAACAAAATATCGTTCAATAAGCACAGTAATTCTAACATCAGCTATTTTTTCTGAAGACTTACCTATGTTTTTCTAGTTCGTTGTGTGATGACCTATTAAAAAGAGAAAAGAAATATTAGAGAAGAGGATAAATAAACCAAGATTTAGAATATTTAAAAGCCAACGCCTGCATAAGCTGCAAAAGAACTCTCTAAAACATGTATTTGTACGGATTATGAAACAGTTTTGCTGTTAAATCGGTTAACTTTTACATCCCTTAGATACTTCAAGGTATCAATTTAATTTCCATGAGTAAACCGTGGGTTTGGGTGAGAATTATAATAATTTTGCATTTATTAGCATTCAATAGATTCAGATACAGAATTGGACATAAAAAGCTAAGCAGGTTAGTAATAAAAACAGCCCACAAGATTTTTACCTGTGAAGAAAAATTATGAGGGGGCAGAAAGTGTTAGATCTAAATGGTAACAGCTAAGAGTAAAAAGTACCCAAAAAGCCGGCTTTCAAACCCAGGGAGAAGCAGAAAGAAAAATCAGCAGCTAACCACTGCTGATGCTGTTGACATCTTAATGGCAAAAAAAGAGGAATCCTCTTAATTCTTCTGAGTCTACAAACAGGAAAAAATAAAACAAAAATCACAGTCCCTGAACAGACCACATCAGTAGCTATTCTCTTCCAATCTACTAGCATTTTTTTTCCTCAACTGATGCCTCCGTTTTTTCACCATTAGAAGGCAGCTCTAACAGAAGATTATTTTTTTTAATTGAATCAGCTGGAAATATTTTTTTAAAAAAATTTATTTATGCAGCTCAGACTGAAAACGTTCCTAAAATGAAGTTATTTTCACCACTTCAAAACCAGCAACTTCCCAGGCTTTTAGTTTTATCCCATTGGAAACACGTCCAGTACTTAAGGATCAAAAGGTACAAAGGCAGTGGCAGATTTTATGACTGGCAGATTACTTCAAAGGAGCAGCTCTCCTACAACACGCTGTAATCTCTGCCTGCACCTGGGCACGGTGTGCTGGCCCAGAGGGCTCTGTCTCAGCGCACAGTCCGTCCAGCGAGCAGAGACCTCACCGGGTGAGAAAGTCCTCCCGCACCACTGCCTGACCTGCCCGGCAGCGAGCCGTCCTGCCTCTCCCTGCACACAATCACAGAACCATGGAATGTCAGGGGTTGGAAGGGACCTCTAGAGATCATCTAGTCCAACCCCTCTGCCAGAGCAGGATCCCCCAGGGCAGCCACAAAGGAACGCATCCAGGTGGGTTTTGAAAATCTCCACAGAAGGAGACTCCACACCCTCTCTGGGCAGCCTGTGCCAGGGCTCTGTCACCCTCATGGTAAAGAAGTTTCTCCACGTATTGGGGTGCAACTTCCTATGTTCTAACTTAAACCCATTATTCCTCGTTCTATTGCTGGGCACCACTGACAAGAGATTGTCCCCTTCCTCTTGACACCCACCCTCAGATATTTCTATACATTAATAAGGTCCCCTCTCAGCCGTCTCCTTTCAAGGCTGAACAGCCCCAGCTCTTTCAGCCTCCTGCAGCTGGATGCTGCGGCATGCCCAGGTGGTACGGGTGATGAAAGCACCTCTCCAGGCACAGCAACAGGGGAAAGAAAGCAAAGCTCATGCAGAGAAATACCCAGTGAACTAACCCACGAGCAATTTATCTCAGGCTGGTGCAGTCCTGACCCTGCAAGGAATGAAGCAAGCTGCCCCTCTGCAGGCAGAGGAAAACTCCCACGCTTACGGAGTTGCACTGGATGTTGTCATCCAGACGTCAACTATGCCAGTCATTACCTGGTAGCATCTTCTGTAGAGCCTATGAATGCTTTTTTTCTTTTAAACTTGCTGCATCAACTGAGCCACAATCAGGCAATGTATGCATTTCTACAGTGCCGTGTAAGCGCTCCTGACCAAAGCGGCAGCACTGGAACCATTTTACACATACTCTGTGCTACATCAATAGGTCAAGGTGGGTTGGGTTTGCTGTGATTGACTGCCTTTGTCATTTGATCATAATAAGGGGATACTGTTTTTTATATTCTACTCCTGCACACACAGAAAGAGATCAAACTTGTTCTCCACCAATGTTTCTCCACACCAACGTTCACGAAAAGTGTCAAACACTAGGCCAAATCCACCAAGATTTACAAAAACACAAAGTTCAGGAGGGAACTGTTCTCCCCAAACACCCGCAACAGGCATGTCAAAGGCAAAGACTGCAGGAAACTCTGGAGGAGAGAGGCAGTACATGCTGGTCTAGATTCACCCCTACGGCATCACCTCCCTGACGTTTTTGGCAATTATATGAGCCCTGCGACTTGCTGATTCCGAGCTGCCTGCATTTAGCAGAGCTCACACCCACCACTGGCCAGTGTGTGCCTGGTGACCGCTGCACCAGACAGAGAAACGCTGGCCAAGAAATTGAGCCTGCAAAGTATTCTGCTGGGTTAAAAGAGGATGCAGTGAGTATGTGGAAGTCCTTCTAAGCACAGCACACCCACCAGGCACCCCTGGTTCATCAAGGGAGACCTTGGCATTCTCCTGGGATGGTGCTGCCAGGCCAGCTCCGAAGAGGCCCAGCTGCCTGCCCTGGTTATGCCAGCGACCAAACAGAGCGGCAGCGAACGTGTGCCTCTTTGCAGAGCTCTCTGGGACACAAAAGCCTAACGGATGCCTGCGGTGTACAAACACGGGCACCAGCCACACATTTCACGAGGTGTGGGGAGGCTGACTAATGCCTCAACTATCAGGCCCTATCCAGGAACCAAAACTGAGAGTTCTGACATTAACCTGGCAGTTGCTCCCTCTACAGAGCAAATTAAATGCCCTGTTACAAGCATCGTGCAGGGCTTTTTGTTGAGTTTGTTTTCTGAAGACATGAATCTCTCTCTAAATATTTTTATTCTCTCCTTCACTGTCTACAGCACAGTGTATTGCAAGAATATCCATTTCTGCTCCTCGTGCAACCTGAAGCGAGGAAAAAAATGTAAGAACTGGTCTGCACGAAAAACAGATCATCAAGCACTACCTCTGTTTCAAAATGGAGTCTTTTATTATTTCAGTAAAAGGTAAGATGCAGGCCAAGACTAAGAGGATATATGGATACATATATTTATATAAAAGATACAGATGTATGCCTGTGGTTTTTAGACAAATGGACTGTAGAGCCCTTCAAAAGCAGCTGCAGGAGAAGGAAGACTTCCAGTGTTTAGCTTTAGTTCACTATACTGGGTTCTGTATCTCCAGGCAAAGCTTGGGGGAGTTGGGAGAAGCGTTGACGGAAGAAAGGTGTTAATAAAAAGGTTCAGATAAAAATAAAGCGGAAAAGCCAACAATAAAAATAAAAATCAGCAAAATCATAGACTCAGAAGGAGGAGCTCAAGAACAGTGCTGCTTAGACTACACTGTTGACCTGAGACAGCCCTAATATCCCTTTAGCAAATGCCAAGCAGTTTACTGGCTATGAAGTAGCAGTCAAATTTTCATTGTGAATAAACTGTCAAAACAAGATTTCAAAGAAGGGGGGGAGCGAAGTAAATGCCGATGCCAGTCTGCAAGACACCATGCCACTTCCAACGACGTGTCCCCAGAGCTATCCCCTTCCACCACCCTCCCTCCCCTAAACAAGAATTCACGGTATTGGATTGGAGCATTTGGTTGACGCAACGTTCAGCGAAGACCCCCTAAGCAATTAGGGCAGGCGGTAACTGAGATTATAAGACTAACACAGAAAATCTAAGTCCCCCCTCAATGTCCACTTTCTACCCGCTTACGGGTGAGCCAGCAGGAACAGCCCACACGCATACTGGGTTGAGATTTCACGGGACGCAGGCTATGTGCTGCCCGTTGCAGTATCGGGACACCTTCCCCTACTCCTCTGTCCATTTGCCCCACCAGACCAGGTGCGTCTTGGCAGCAGGAAACCAGCACAGCTCCTGACAAAAGTGGGGACGTATCAGCGCCGCTCCTGAAATTTCCTCCCCAGTGCTAACGGCAGCCAGGTCTAGACCACGAGTCACCAGTACTCTACCAGTTGCCAACATATTTCAAAGCGCTGCAGGGAGCAAGGCAGACTAGTTAATGAAGTGCTTAAAACAGCGGCAAGCACCTTGCCCGTGCCAGGGCTTTCAGGTGCAGGCAGGGCTGGCAGGGTGCTGCTGCACGGCCCACGTGCAGGGGACACGACTCCGCTAAGGTCGCATGGCACTTGGGAGGGCCACCTGCGAACTACGTTGCCCGCACTTCACCTTTTTGCCAGACTGAAAGAGTAAGAACAAACAGAGCAAGAAGTTTTACAAGGTGCTACACACGAAGTGTCTGCATCCAGCTCCCACTCCCAAGCATGCTGGTGCGCAAGAGCACGCAGCTCGCTCATATACCCGCAGCCTCGCCTGGATGCGACAGCTGCGCGGCTTTTTGCTGCAAGGATCCTGATTCACTTCCAGGAAATTCCCTGTCGACATATATAACCTGCCATGGGACGCACCTGAAAACACTACAGCCCACCACCCCAGTCACCAAGATGAGGAGCTGCAATGCTAAACCCAAGCATGAGCTTGCAGCCTGTCAGAGGAACAGCCCGTATGGAATTAATCCACTAGAAATCAACTTTAGTATTCCCCTCAAAACAAAATTTAACCGGCCCTGCAGATTCAGCCGGGATCTGGGAACCGGGCATACTGGCACAGCCTCGATGCGGAGTTCTGGCTCCAGCACCTCATCCAAGTTTGCACTGCCACATGGTTGTGGTGGCGAGGTCCAAACATGCTTCTAACACGGTGGCAATTTTGTTTTCCTCAACTGCACGAGCACTGCAGCTCCCAGGCATTGCAGACCTACTGCAGTTCCTCAGGAGTGACAGACCAGGTCATGAGATCCATTATATTGGGGCTAAAATGCCTCAGTTTTAAAAACAAGCGTGGTGGTGGTCTCAATTGCTGTCCCTCTGCTGCCAGCTTTGGGAGAGCAAGCCCAGAGGGATCTATCGAATTCAGAAAGTCAGGCAGAAAAGCGGAGGAGCCATGTCTGCACAGGCTGGTGGTTTGCAGTGTTTTATTCTTGGCCTCCTACAAAAAAAAAA